CAGCCACATTCTGGCCACAAGCACCGGCAGTGTAACTTGAAACTTTGGAATTTCTTTTAAAATAAAAAATTGCGCTGGGCCGCATTATGAGCCGACCTGGGCCACATGTGGCCCTCGGGCCGCAGGTTGGACAAGCCTGGTTTAGATTATACCTGACTAGCCGAGTCGTTTTTCCTATTCTCTTCAGTTTAAGCTTGAATTTTGCTATGAGAAGCTGATGATCGGAGCCACAATCAGCTCCAGGTCTTGTTTTTGCTAACTGTTTAGAGCTTCTCCATCTTGGCTGCTGAGAACATAATCAATCTGATTTCGGTATTGCCCATCTGGTGAAGTCCCTGTGTAGAGTCACCTCTTGTGCTGTTGGAAAGGAGCAAGATGCCCCCTCCCAAATCTGGGGGGGGGAGTCAGGTGGGTGTGCTTTCTCGACCCTTGTTGGCTGCTCACTTCTGATCCTTGCAATGCTTTTTTTTAGTAAAAAGAAAAGAAAAGAAAAATGGTATCCTAGAACCCCAGGATAAGAAGCATAAAAGACAAGTGAGCCTCAGTTTGATTTAACTACAGTACATGCTTGTCTGTAAATATCTTTACAAAGTTGGGCGGCAGCCACGTTCCCCCAGAGGCAAGAAAATTTACAGTAAGTGCACCACATACACACACACACAACAAAGGGAGTTACAGTACAATCCCCTGTTGCACAATCTTAGTCTGCAGACAGAGGTGAGTGCTTTCCGGATGGGTGGGGGAAGCCAAACTACATTGCCTCCAGTCAAATGTGGGGGAAACTCCTTGTCAATTTCATAACCTTCCAATCCAGCAGCCAGTTTTCAAAGCAATGCTATCAGACTTTGGCTGAATTCTGGGATGCAGGTGGGTGACTGGCTCCTCAGGCCTTCTGTCTTCAGACAAAAGCTGCAATCCTAAATGGACTTACTCCTACAGTGTAAGCCTTACGGAACACAACACCACTTACTTCCAAGCACATCTGTGTAGGACTGCACTCCACAATAGTTTCAGCCTTTATGAAAATGTCCTCTTTGCAGAACTGGAGCTGGAATGTATGTTATTTAGCCAGCCAGATATACCCAGAGCATCCTTTTTCAACTAATAATTTGAGTGACTAAACCCACTCCCCACCAAACCCAAATTCCCATAGCTGCTGTTCTAATTTCACCTAATTTGTAGGTCTGGGGCTGGTTACAGGGAACATATGTCTCCCCTGTTACAGCAGCTGCACTAGCTGCTGATCTATTTCCAGCCCTAATTCAAAATGCTGATTTTAACCTATAAAGTCCTAAATGGCTTGGGTCCAAGCTATCTATAGGATCTTACAGGTATTTCCCTTTATGCACCTAGCCAGATTCTGAGGTCATCAGGAGAGGCCTTGCTCTTGGTCCTACCACCCATATTGGCATGTTTGGTGGGGAGAAGGGAGAGGATCTTCTCTACTGCGGACTCCAACTTCTGGAACTACCTCCCACAGAAGGCCAGGTTGGTCTTTGCTGTCCTTCCACAAGCAGGCAAAGCCTGTTCTCTGCAGGCCGGCTTTTCTTTAAATGACCAGTTGACCAAGAGGAGTTCTTTAAAGCAGTGGTCCCCAACCTTGGGCCTCCAGATAGTCTTGGACTTCAACACCCAGAAATCCTGGCCAACAGAGGTGGTGGTGAAGGCTTCTGGGAGTTATAGTCCAAGAACATCTGGAAGCCCAAGGTTGGGGACCACTGCTTTAAAGGGAACACTTTATTCTGTGTTTCACTTGCATTTTTAATATTGTTCTTATTATTATAAGTTTTAGTATGATATTTGTTTAATGCATTTTAAATATTGAAATAATTCATTATGTATTACTTTCTTTTAATACTGTAGGCTGCCTTGGATCCTCTAGGAGAAAGGCAGCATACAAACATTTTTC